TCAGTTCCCAGGTCGAAAAAGGTGATTGAACCGCAAGGTGAAAGGGTCAGCGCACTTGTATTGTTTGAACAATCTGTTGACATGTCTGCGGCGGCGAGCGTCAGCGCGACTCAGCTGCAGGAAACGCGACAAAGGAATGGTTTAAGGGAGGTATCATGCAAACCACCATGGAAGCAAACCACGGAAAAATGGGGTAACAGCTTGTGAAAAACTCAGCAGGTACGTCGAAAGAGCGTCCTCTTTCGATATCCTACTCTAAACCTGGACCTTCGTTGGCTCACACCAGCAACAGACCCGTGAGCCCCCTGCGTGCAAAAACTCTTAGAAACAGAGTGTGACACACACACTCAGCTGCTTTGCCGCGCTCTCGTGCAAAAACCTAAATAGGCACCTAAGAAAGAAAGAATGAAAAGCAGAAAGAGCAGCGCTAAAAGGGCAGGAGAGAAAGATAGGTGTAGCAAAAAGTGAATACTTAGCCCTTGACTGGGGTAGGGAAACGAGCCTCAAGAACCACCTAAGAAGCCTGAAGAAAGAAAGGGGGGGGCAGGGAGGGGGTGTATGTCCATGTGTGTGTACATGTGTGTCTCTGAATACTTAGCACTGTAGAGTTACCGGTTACTTAGCGGAAACTAATTAGGTGCAATAGTTAGGGAGCGGGACTTTAGTCTTAAACCGCCCGGGTAGAGTAGACTAGAACAGGGACAACAGAGGGAAAGGCACCGACACACAAGTGTCTGTTACCCTAATTAGGTGGGGAGTAGAGAACTTGGGGGGTTGTGTGGGGCAATTCTCCGTATGCCCGGCAGCTTTGAATTTCCGTATACCCGGCGGTCGTAAATCCGTGGTGCCCGGCGGCTTGGGTTTTTGAGAATACAGTGGTGAAACGAAAGTCCGTTAAGATAATCCAACAAGCGCAGAAAGCGGGAAAGTCAGTTAGCGGTAATCCGGCATGAAAACAGCGCCCCAGTGACGGGGATCAAACTGTGCGCCCACGTGGGACGGCACAGCGGCACACACTTTGATATTGGGTTTCCAGTTAAGGGAAGGGGGAGGAGGGGGGGTAAGTTCTCCACAGGTTCCAACGAACCTCAAAAATACTTCGACCGCTGTGGTCACCTTGTGCCTTGCCAAAGTGGCTGGCTGCTTTGACCGCTGCGGTCACGTAAAGGCATCAGCCAACTTGGAATTCCAAAGATGAGACAAAAATCTGAATTCTCTCGGCCTAGGCCACCTACGCTCGCTGCGAGCTGCTCTGTATCCGGGCAGGGACGGGTCCACGGGAGGCACTCTACGAGCTCATCCCGGACTCCCACTAGGAGAGACACACTTATGGATATGCGTACTGACTTGACAGCGGTGCCACACGTCGGCCTAGGGTACCATTTCCTAAGAGTACCAGTAAGAAACCATCGAATCCTGGGGGTCTTCAAAAGGAAAGGTGGCCCAAAGCGCAAGATCGAGGTCGGCGATCAGGTCGAAGTGACGGCGTGTCGTGCATGTCTGCACAAAGGGTTAAAAATCAGGCAGGTACGTGGATTCTGCGTCCAGAATCCATATCAGTGACTTGTAACAGCCTCTTCGTTGGACTGCCACTGTTACAAGCCAGGCAGTCCCCCTGTTCCAAACCTAAAGGTTCCCTTTGATTCCAAGGGTTACACACACACACCCACACGCACACGCACACTTGAGAAGGTTGCTCCGTAGAG